TAACATTTCCTAGCTACCTACGTCGATGTCTGCCCTACTGGCTTGACCACCGTCACCACCACCTACGTTGCGACCGTCTGCACCAAGTGCGCAAAGCCCACCGGCTCGACCGACGTACCTGAGGGCTGGACCACCAGCGTCTACACTGCCAGCACTATTACCGTAACCATCACCAAGCCCATCGCTACCGCCACCCACGTGCCCGCATACCCATCCTCTGCTCCTTCCGTCGCATACCCTGCAGACTACCCGGCTGAGCCCATGTCCTCAGGCAAGCCTGAATACCATGCCGTCCCTGAGGCGTCTATGCCCGCATACCCTGTTGCTCCTGAGGCTTCCAAGGCTGCTGAGTACTCGGCTGTTCCTGAAGCATCGATGCCCGCATACCCCGTCGCTCCTGAGGCATCGATGTCCGCATACCCTGTCGCTCCTGAGGCTTCCAAGGCTGCTGAGTACCCATCCGTCCCTGAAGCTTCGAAGGGCGCTGAGTACCCATCTATGCCCGAGGCCTCCAAGGCCGCAGAATACCCTGCCATGCCCGAGTACCCCAAGAAGCCCGTCGAGCAGGAGGCCACCAGCACCATGTACATGACTCTCACCAAGGTCGCAATGTCTACCTACACTCCCGCTCCTTACCCAACTGCTGGAGGTGCTCCTTACGTTCCCGCCGGCCCTGCCATGAACGGTACCAGTATGTACGCGCCTATGCCAACTGGTACTGGTAAGCCTACCGTTCCTTCCCAGTACATGCCGCCTGCGGAGTTCGAGGGCGCTGCTAGCCGTGTTGGAGCTGGGTTCATGATGCTTGTTGGTGTTGTCGGCGCTGTTCTACTTCTCTAGGTTGAATGATTGAAGAGTGTTGTGTTGTAGTTGGATGTTTACGTTTCTCATGTCACTTCGTACGTTTTTTTAGATACCACTAGATGTAGTTGTATGCCATGCGAGTACGCGCGATTGTTCTTCCTGTTCATACTTTGTCGCTATCAACCATGCCAATCTGACAACAATGCAAGCCTAGAAGATGCTAGAAGTCCACACGCTTCGTCTAGACAATGAAAGCATGCGCGTCAATCCCAAGGTCTTTCGTCGTGATGAATAGATAGTGCGATATCAGAGGTAATGTCGTGACTGTTGATAATGTCAAAGGCTGGCCCAGCCTTTTAATGATGCATGGGGGAAGACGGGTGTTGGGGATCGGCTGCGGGAGGCCGCGGGGGTGAAGCTTGGAGCTCCAAAACGTGGGTGGAGTCACCTTTCGTCATTCCCTCGCGGCCATTGAATACACGCGAACGCGCAACTTACACCAGCGCCACAACCTCTTTGTCGCGATGCCCATACACAAGCGATTTCACTTGCGTATTGTGCCCCCTGACTGACTTTACCCGCACAGCCTCACATCGCACTTGCTCAGCTGTTTCTGGAAGCATCGCCTCCGGTACCTCTTGCCTCTCGCGACTTCCTCGAGCTGCGCTTTCAAGATCCATCCAAACTCTAGCAAACTACACAACGTGTCACGATGAAGTACACTGTATACGATCGCCTATTTAAGCGCGAAGTCGGACAACAGCCTAGGAAATACTCAGACATTCGGTCAATATATGGCGACCGCAAATGGGTGGACGACCTCGATATCGTGAACGAACTAGAAGGCCATAATGGATGCGTCAATGCTCTCAGGTATGTCATTATCCTCCTTGTACATCTGTGGCACCGTCTGACTCCACCAGCTGGTCAACATCTGGCCGCCTCCTCGCGTCTGGCTCCGACGATCATCGTATCAACATCCACTCGTACCACCCCGAATCGTCGACGTCGCAGTTCAATCTTACCACCTCAATCCAGACAGGACATCAGTCCAATATCTTCTCCGTGAAGTTCATGCCCTACTCCAACGATCGCACAATTGTCAGCGCGACGGACGATGTACGGATATTCGATATCGAGCATTCAGGCCACTCAGCCCTCCGGTCTACAGGCAATGCGGGCAGTACAGGCAGAGCACGCCGTAGACTGACGCTCACAGAAGGGGATACCAACGCGAAAGCATTCCGTTGCCACGCCGACACGGTGAAGCGGATCGTCACTGAAGACAACCCCTTCTATTTCCTTACGTGCTCGAACGATGGCGAGGTACGGCAATGGGATGTACGGCAACCCTCTAAGGCATATCCACCTCCACGAGACACCATGCTTCCTGCATGGGCGAGAGATGAAGACGCCTCAGACAGCGTCCCGCCGCCACTCATCTCGTATGCTCGCTATGGACTGGATCTCAATACCGTGTCATGCTCGCCTAGTCAGCCACATTACATTGCGCTAGGTGGGGCACATCTCCATTGCTTCTTGCATGACCGCCGGATGCTTGGCCGCGATTTGAATATCGAGCGTGGATCTAGGCTATCGAGTCCAGAGAATTGGAACGATAATGACGATGAGCTACTAGGAAAGGCGACGCAATGTGTGAAGAAGTTTGCGCCAAACGGAAAGCAGCGCATGAAGAGAAATGATGGCGGTCACATCACAGCATGTAAAATCAGTGACGCCGAGCCGAACGAACTCGTTGTGAGCTGGTCTCAGGATCACATCTACAGTTTCGATATTTTACGGGCGCCAGATGCTAGAGAGAACGTGACGCCCATTAAGACCTCGAATAGTGCATCTGGCCATCGCGTCAAGGACACGAACAGGAAACGTAAGCGACCGAAGTCTAGTACCTTGTCGCAAGAAGGCGTCGAAAGAGCCGAATCGAGACAACGTACCGAAAGTGCCGATGAAGACCTGGCACTGCGAGTGACATATGGAAATGGCCAGAGCGAAGACATACGCATTCATCCTCCTGCTGAGAACCGCATGACCCAGGAGGAATTGAACGATCTACGAGCATCAGACCACTACCGCATCGCAAGTACAACTGTCAAGATAGCGAAACGAATTTTCGAGCTAGGTGAGCTTGGAGAGTCTGGAATTCACCTCGCATGCACGTCCATTGTAGGTCTAGCGAACTCGATCTTGGCCGACATGGACGACATCGATAGGACGTGGGGCTACCCAATCGATCCAGATCCTGTGGACGTTGCAGTACAAAACAAGCTTCGCTATAGCAGGGCAGCGTCTCGTCGGTTCGTGCAAGCAGCCGGGACATTAGCACGGGTCCTAGGTGGACAACTCTTGACTGGATCCAGCTCTGATGCCTTGATCGCCCAGTATTTCGCTTCAATACAACCAGCGCCTCGGGAGCGCGATCCACCACAACACGAGCAGTTTGGATACGACTTCCTGAAAGCCATACTGTTATGGATCGACAGTGGCCCTGGAGCAGTCGTGGAAGGATTTTCGAGCCGAAGTGGTAGTACTCGCTTTCCCATCCCCCATGGTTCGGATATGGATGCCATTCAAGAACGACTGATCCCATACCTGATCGAATTGGCAGACGACACCAAAATCATCAATGTCGATGCCTCCAAATATGAAACAGATAGCACGCGAGTCTTGTACGACTCTGAGTTTGAGGCCGTTGATGCGTTCGGCCATGCAATCACGATACCCTTTGCTGATCTCACCGGCGAGAATGAGTCCACATCAGAGTCAGTATCTTCTAGCGAGCCCACACAAACCCGAGCTACGGCGAAACGGAGATGGGTGTACTATGTTGGGAGGGGTGTTTTGCGCAATGCCGCCAAGGATATCAAATTCGCTTTTGTAGACCGCGCTTACGGCGGCCAAGGCATATCTGACAAGACGATCAGAGCTGAAGAGAAGGCCTTGAGAGAGAATCAGGAGGATATCGATCCCTCGATAGACGAGGGTCCGGTTCGTGATGCAGAACTCATCAGCACATCGGCACGAGAGGGAGGCGATCAGGAAAAGGTTGCCTCCAGCTCTGCTAATGCGAACGAGTCGGGTTCTGTGGCCATTGAGAGCGCCGATGATGAGGATGAAGACGGGGATGAAGAAGAAGAGGACGACGATGATGACGATGAAGACAGTGATGGTGATATAGAATCGGATGATGGAGAAGAAGAGGACGATACTGACGACGAAGACGAAGAAGGCTTATCACGTACAAGATCTGGAAACATGTTATGGCGATCAGATTTTGGCCGCAGTCGCTACGGGCGATGGAAGGTGGAGCGCGATGTACCTTGTGTACCTCATACACGTGTCTATACTGGGCATTGCAACGCCAGGACAGTCAAAGACGTCAACTACTTCGGACTGCAGGATGAGTATGTGGTCAGTGGTAGCGATTCTGGCCACGTGTTCATCTGGGATCGCAAGACTGCGGAACTTGTAAACATCCTGGAGGGAGACGGAGAGGTGGTCAACGTCATCCAAGGTAAGGAGAAATGAATATACAACCAAGATGATACAGGCTCTAACACATTCAGGTCACCCCTACGAACCTACAATGGCGGTTTCCGGTATCGACCACACTATTAAAATCTTCTCTCCGGATGCGCAGCTTCAGCGTAACGCACGAAAAGGTGTCGGAGTGCATTCGTCCGATCCGGCTGCTTTCTCCAGTCTGAACTTCGGTCGTCGCCGTCGCAACCGCGCTGCCGAACCCGAGGCTGAAAGTGAGCCTGCCGTCGATGCCCCCAGCGACAGTGACGATGAGGTTGCCCCCGGTGGACTCAGCAGTCGACGAAGGATGCACCAAGCTTATCAGATTACAAGTCAGAACGATATGGACCGGAAAGGCGGAAGAGACGATTACTTCATCAGTCAGGCGGTCTTCGCGCAATTGGCTCGGCATATTGCCCGTGGGCAGGGTGCTGGTGGTGGAGGTGATGAGGAAGGAGAGGGTGGTGGACCGGTCGTCATCACAGAAGAGAACTGCAATGTCATGTAGGGGAGACTGAACATCTGAACGACTTCATTATACCTCTCGGCTCTCCAGCTACCAATCCAATTATATCGACGCAACTAAATGTTCTTGCGCCGTTCCAAGCTGACCCCTTTTGTGGAAGATTATTACTCGCACCCAATGCCGTAAGCGTTTATGAGGCCTTCTTCTGCTTGGCCTTGAGTGCCTTCTTCCGATTGCTCCTGATCATGACCACTGAGAGGAAGCTGCCGACGACCGTAGTGCCCAGGATGAGGAGGATGACGGGGATGCGGATGGCCCAGACGCGTGGGAGGAAGAGGGAGTGGAGGATGTGGTCGTCGTCTACAAAGGGCTATATAGAGTCAGTATATGTACCAGAACGAAGTGATCACACAAAAGCATACCATGAACAGAGTCCAGACGGTGTAGTAGACGAAGATGGCAGTCGCTGCGACGAGCATGCTGAGGCCTACGAGACGATCGGCCTGTGATGGTTGGTCAGTGCACAGCCTTGAATGCTACACGGGTGAGAGCATACCATTGTGAAGATTGGCGAAAGAGTGAACGAATGTATTAGCTTGGAGTAATGGTGGTTACAATCACCTCGCTGGCCCTTCCCCCCAAAGTCGCGCCAAGCCAAGACCCCTGTCGGCGAAACCGCGGCCCGTTCGCCGCAACCTTCGATCGCCCAACCGCCTGTAAGCTAAACTTTTGCGAAGCGCGTCACTCTCCACCTCAACACTCGCCATCCTCCACCTCCAACACGACTCACTGCGCGACGATGGAGGTCGCATCTGCCGTCCGTTTGCCCTCACCGGAGCCCGAGCTCGACGCCAAAGAGGTTCCGCGCAAACGCGAGCGCTCCCCATACGATGGACCGAGTGCTGGGCCATCAAAGCGAAGCAGGAGGGATGAAGAGGAGGACGACCGTCGCAATGGCGGTATTGGCCGTCGCCCGCCGCCGAAGCCTACGACCAACGACCTTCCCGATGACGACTCCCGCTTGAAGCTTTTCCAGAATGCCTTCAGCGCGAACCGTAAGCTGCCCGTTGACGACTCCAAGACACGTGCTGGAGGCGCGTATATCCCGCCGGCGCGCCTGCGCGAGATGCAGAAGTCGATTACGGATAAGAGCAGCCCCGAGTTCCAGCGCATGGCTTGGGAGGCGCTCAAGAAGTCGATCCAGGGTTTGATCAACAAGACGAATACGGCGAATATCAAGATGATTGTACCAGAGCTGTTTTCGGAGAACTTGGTGCGCGGACGTGGGCTGTTCTGCAGAGCTATTATGAAGGCGCAAGCGGCCAGTTTGCCTTTCACGCCCATCTACGCGGCTATGGTCTCCATTGTCAACACGAAGCTGCCTCAAGTTGGCGATCTGCTGGTTCGGCGCCTGATTGTGCAGTTCAGGAAGGGTTTCAGGAGGAACGACAAGGCCGTGGCGCTATCGAGTACCATGTTCCTTTCGCACCTTGTCAACACGCAAGTCGTCCATGAGATCTTGATCGCCGAGATTCTGCTCCTCCTGCTCAACAAGCCCTCCGATGACTCTGTTGAGATCGCAGTCGGTATCATGAAAGAGGTCGGCGCTTTCCTCGACGAGATGAAGCCTGCGATCGCGAACGCCATCTTCGACCAGATGCGCAACATCCTCCACGAAGCCGACATCGACAAGCGCACACAATACATGATTGAGGTTCTTTTCGAGGTCCGACGCACAAAGTACAAGGACAATCCGGTCATCAGGGAGGACTTGGACCTGGTAGAGGAGGAGGATCAGATCACCCACAACCACACGCTTGAGGGTGATCTGAAGGTTGAGGATGGTCTCAACCTCTTCAAGGTCGATCCTGACTACGAAGCGCACGAGGCAGAGTACACGAAGATCAAGGCGGAGATTCTAGGTGAAGAGGAGGGTAGCGACGATGATGGATACACAGATGCGTCATCTGAGGATGAAGAGGACGAGGAAGTGAAGGCCATGGACGTCAAGGACCAGACTAACGCGGATCTCGTTAACCTGCGAAGAACGATCTACTTGACCATCAAGAGTAGTGGTGGATTTGAGGAGTGCGTACACAAACTCATGCGCATCAACCTGCCGCATGGCTTGGAGAACGAACTCACCACGATGATCGTCGAGTGCGCCAGCCAAGAGCGCACATACGAGAAGTTCTACGGCATGATTGGAGAGCGCTTCTGCAAGCTGAACAGGATGTGGACCGACCTTTTCGAGGAAGCCTTCGCGCACTACTACGAGACTATCCACCGCTTCGAAACGAACCGCCTTCGTATCATCGCACAGTTCTTCGCGCATCTGCTAGCATCCGACGGTATCGGCTGGCACGTCTTCCAGGTGGTCAAGATGACGGAAGAAGACACCACCTCTAGTTCGCGTATCTTCGTCAAGATCTTGTTCGAAGAGCTCCTAGCTTCTCTCGGGCAGAAGGTGGTTGTGGAGCGCTTCAAGGACCCCATGCTACAAGACAGCCTCACTGGACTCTTCCCCACCGATGCCGACGACCAGAGCAAGACCCGCTTCTCGATCAACTACTTCACTGCAATCGGTATGGGTGTGCTTACTGAAGGTATGCGCGACTGGCTCAAGAACGCTGCGCCCAAGCCGAAACCGCTACCCGAACCAGAGAGCGACTCCGACGACGACCGCAGCGTTTCGTCAAGATCAAGCTACAGTTCGAGCAGCTACTCACGCTCCCGAAGCCCGGTTCGCAGAAGGCGCGACTCAAGATCCAGGTCCAGATCCGACTCTAGAGGACGCTCGTACACACGCAGCCCTACGCCAGCCCGCAAACGTGGAGGCCGTGGCAGAAGCGACTCCTACAGCTCCGCATCCCGCTCTCGATCCCGCTCCCCGGCACCACGCAAACTCAAGAGCAAGCGCTCCTACTCAACCTCCCTTTCCCGATCACGCTCCCCCGCGCCCAGGAGACGCGGCCGCAGCCCTTCATCCTCCCGATCCCGTTCTCCGCCCCCGAAATCCAAGACCGCACGACGAGGACGCAGCCCATCCGGCTCGCTATCCCGCTCTCCACCTCCGCGCCGCAGGAAGTACACAACCTCTCCTTCGCGTTCGCCCTCCCCACCACCGCGCCGTCGTGGTCGTGATTCTAGCACCCCGCCGCCCAGGCGTAGACGTGGCTCGAGCAGTGCCCCGCCATCGAAGGGTAAAGGGAAAGCGAGGGCGGATAGTGGTAGTCCACCTCCGCGTCGCAGTCGCAGGAGGGATACTAGTTCCCCGCCGCCGCCGCGGGAGAAGGCTAATGGCAAGGCGAGGGAGGTTACTGCTAGCCCGCCGCCGAGGATGAAGAGAGACGATAGTGGAAGTCCGGCACCGAGAGTCAAGAGGGATGGTAGTAGTCCGCCGTCGAGGAGACGGAGGGATTCGTAGGGTGGATTCTGGGGACAGGTTGATGAGTGAGAGGACTTGCGATCAGGGGATTTGGCGTCACATGCTTCGGTTAGGAGAAAGATTGCATGGGTTGGTAGCGTTGTATTGTTTTTCTGGAAGTATAATTGCGATGATTGGGTGAAGGGATGTATGTGGGAGAGGCGAGATAGCGATGGACATTAGTATAGCTACATCAAAACAGGATATCACCGCATCTTATACGTCTTTAATCTGTCTGTGATTCTACTTCCCGTCACCACCTCAACTCTTCCACACAAAACCCGAAATCCTTCAACTCCTCAATTCTCATACCATCAGCTCAATCCCCAAGCCTAGCACTATACTCAGGCCTCAGCGCATTACTCGCCGAAGTAAACACCACCAGCACAGCCGCATAACTGGCCCCCGCAGTAACAACCTCAATAGTCCTCGCCTTCGTCCACGTACTCAACGCACTCAAAAAGAACAACACAGCCACCGTAATCGTAACCAGCCGCCCCACAGCATCCTGCACACAAAACAACACCACGACCGGCGCGAGCAGAATCGATGCGGCTATCCAACTCGTGACTGCGCGGCTGAAACTGCGGAGCCGCGGGCCCGCGAAGAAGATGTGCGGGTCGGATGTTAGGTCGTGTCGACCGGGCTTGAGGGACTCGGGGAGGCGTTTGATTTTTCGGATGGGCGATGAGAGGAAGAAGGCGAGGCGTTCGATGAAGGTTTCGATTGTGAGGACGGCGCTGTCGAGAGTGCCGGTTAGGTTGGCGAGGTCGTGCGGGTGCGAGAGGAAGTCGGTTTCTGGGCTGGCAATGCTGCCGGTGCCGTGGAGCCAGTTTTGGATGCTGGTGATGTCTCGGGGGGAGGCTGTTGGGAGGCGCATGGCGTGGTGGTAGTCGCGTAGCATTGCGTCTGGGTACGGTTGTTAGTCTAATTAGTGCCTCGTCCGGCGTAGTGCTGGACCATCTTGTTTGTGTGTCTTTTCTTACCATATTCAGATAAAGATACTTGCAGTTTCTTCAAAATACCAAGTCGGTGTGGATTCTCATCTCGTCTTGCAACGCCCAAGAAAAGCTGTCGAGGTTCATTCGCGTCAATTGAGTCAAGCGAAGTTTCCAATATCGAAATCTCATCTTGCTTGAGTAATAATAAGCGTAGCCGTGCTCTTGTAAAGCGACGAAAGTTTTGGAACGCTGGGTCAACGTCGAGAAGCGCGGTGAATCTGGGATAGCCTTTCCGGAAGTCATCGACTGTGTTCTCTTGTTAGTTGTTTTCTTTTGGAATTCATTTTCTTTATAACTCTTGAAATTGCATGGTGTACTTGGAACGCACGTGAAAACTGCCCTTTGTGGGTAGGAAGTATGGACATAACGACTGAAGATGGTGGCACGCATTGTTGTCCGGCCACCAATCCTAATAGCAGATTCCAAATAGGATCAACTGCAGCTGTGTAGGATTCGGTGGTCATACTAAGCGCATCCACGCGTATAGTCGGCTACCCGGATATCCAATGGGTGCTCTGCCATCATGCCAGGCCTCGCGTATGCCGATCCTCGTCCTGCCGTCCTTCCTCTTGCGTACGAGGCTGGATTTCACTACTTATCTGCATCGGAGGCGTCCAATTGGGTATTTACACGACACATTATGGCGCTGAAGGCTGAAATCGGGAGGCGAAGGATCTGTCTGCCGTGCGACGAGGGCGATTACACCGGACTATATCAAGATCGCCTAGGCCCTAGTATCCACTATCTACTCGAGAACGCCTACACTACATCTTTAGTCAAAAACTTGTTCCCGAATACAGCTTAAGTCTGCGCTATGGCTGACGCCAGCAACCAAGATGTGAGTGATGTGCCGCCATTCTGCTGAGACACACTAATGGTACAGCCATCCCGATATGATGGGCCGTTGAAGGAAGGTGAAGGAAGACCAAGCATCTCAAATTATACTGGTGTAATTGCCACATATTACCGTATGCTTCGGTGAGCGAGTGGTTCCCATACTGACTCACTGCCAGGGTTTCAAGTTCAGAGTGGGTGACGATGTTCGGATCAACGCAACCAGCAACCAGGCACTTCGTGGCCCATACACTGTTTCTGAAACTTTTGCTGGCCCGAGATATACCCTCGAGAAGTCAGATGGAAGTTTGGTTGACAACGGGAAGAAATTTGATGAGAATGAACTGGAACATGCCAATTAGAGAAGCACCATGTAGCTCTACTTCTTGTGCGCGTATCGTCTACGCGACTGGCTGTCGTTTAAGCTTCTGTAAGACCATCTTGTTCATCGCATCAAGAAGCCTGCTTTTCCTTTCATCATCTTGCGTCACGCCGAATTCTGATGTGAGACAAGTCTGTACTGCATCTCGGTACTCTGAGCCAACGTAATGAGCCAGGCTATCTTGAGCTGCGTCTGCTAACCACTTCACCATGTCTTTTTTTGCAACTTGGACAGCTTCGCTTTTCAATTTTGGAGGCTTTGGCGGCTTCTGTGGGGTTTTGGCGCGATCCTCAACTAGATCTTGGGTAGATCGCCAGAGCCCAATCTCTAGTAGCACAACACCTAGAGAGTACAGATCATGCTCTTTCTTGTGGCCATCTCGCACCTCTCCTTGCCTATCCGGATGCCGATATATGTCATGCTTAATATCTTCCACGTAGCGTCCGATCGAAGGCTTCGCATTTGGTCGCGCGAAATCGAACCCATGCAGCAAAGGGGCGTGGAACTGTAATCTTGCGTCTGAGCCTCCCGAGAGAGATTGGAGGAAGATGATGTTGTGAGACGAGATGGACTGATGTACCCAATCGACTCGGTGCCATTGCTCGACTGCTTTTGCGATGGAGGAGGCCATAGTCAGCCGTTCTTCGAGTGTAGGTCGCGAATGGCGCCTCAGTTTAGTAATCACTTCATACAGAGTTTTGTACTGATTACTGCAATTGTCAGGGATACGAAAGTGATACACGAAGTGACGTTTGTGTTGTTCGTGCTTCCACTCGTATAGTTGGAGACAGCGAAACGACTGAGGCTTCTGGGATTCTAAGACCTCTGCGAGATGTCCTATGCGTGCTCTCATATCCTTGATCTCTTGAGGACTTCGGTGTTCGTCGTATATCTTATATTCCTCCAACAGTCGATCAGGATACATAGATACGGTGGACCTAGTTGCAGTGACGTTTGCCTTGTGGTTGGGTGATTGCTGACGACAGATGATTCGTCGGAGAACCAATTGACTTGAGATTCCAAGTGACTCCGATGCTGGGTCTTCGAGTGTTTTGTTAATCTGGCTGGTGGTTGAAGACGCTCCAGACATCATAATCGCCTTCTCTAAGAGTTCAATGACTTCTGTATTGCCGGCGTTCAATCTTTTGACAAAGTCATTCGCCAGTTTTTCCATGTGCTCTTTCTGTTCTGCGAAGCCTGGCACACTTTGTCGTGACTTGTAGCGGGATACAAGATGGTGGAGCTCGCCCCAAGCCTCTCCGATCTGTTGCAATATCGGGACATCCAGCGATTGCGCGATAGCACTAGACCTGTTCGGGAGCGAATCTTGGATGAAGTTGCTGATGCTGGCAGTTTGTTGTAAAACACTTTCCACTTTGAGCCCCGCGACAAATGCTCCTGGTGCGTCTGCGTGTAGCCACCTACCGATCTCATCCATTACAGCGTCGTTCAAAGGTTCCCGCATGCCGATTGTGATCCTTACAGCTGCCTTCCAAGCAACTGCACTATCTTGATACTCCCCTGGTGATTTGAGCTGCTCAAGTATGACACTGCGATTTGTAGGACCAGCACGGATCTGTACATGGAAGGGGGTGGTATATAACTTCGCGTCCCGACGGACAAGTCTTGTATGAAGCTCAAGTATGTCGATCTTGTGGTCTTTTTCGATAAGCTTTTCCATGGTCTTGATCATGATCGTGGTAAAGGAGCCATCTCCCGGCTGTGGTGTTTCGACCCTATCACCTGCAGCCGCAAGTAACTCCACACGACCAGGTGGCTCACCGGGCGTATCCTGGCCTGCACTTCTTCCTGTTTGCGCGGCATAACAGCAGTCAAACAGAAGAAGAACATCGAACGGGATATCACGGAAAAGCTTTTGTACCTCGTACCATCTGACGTGAGGCCCACCTGTGCGTTGACTACGCATTGTCAGATGTTGAAAGTCTTGGAGGTAATACATCACTTACGCTCGCCATACAGCCCGTCGCTTTTGAGGTCCTCCAGGCCCGGTGAAGTGGCGGTCGTCATTCTTGTCGCCATGGCCACCATAGTGAACTATCAGCAGACAGGGAGCACCGAGACTGCTTATACCGTTTGCGAGTGAAAGCTGGTGCGCATGCTTGGCGATAAATGCGTTCACTGCTAACTGACTGCCGATGTCCGGGATGGGGTACAGCTCTGTCTCGTACTTCATTTTTCTGAAGAAGCATTCGACGTTCCTCGCTTCTTCATGATATTCGCTCGGCTTATCCGAATTCTCCCAGTAGAGAATCAGCGCTTTGACTGCAGCATACCGCACTGGAGACACTGGCTTCTCAACATGCTGCGCTAGGTAATCCCTGGTCTTCTCATCATTGGCGAAAGTTTGCATCGGTTCCATTAGCAGTATGTCTACCAAGGGCGACAATAAGTGCTAGGTTGAGCGAGAGCACACAGGAAGCGAAAAGGAGGCGGAGCTGTTCCCGGTCGATGTGAATGAAGAACCTATTGCTGTGTGCTATGGTAGGTTACTTCGCGCTCAAAAACATCATGTTAGTCTTTTGTATTGCGCAAATACTGTACTGTGACCCAAGAGCAGGCTGCCAAATACGTGTCTGCCTCGGAGAAACGTGCTTCGATGTTGAACGCTGTTGGCAGGTGACAAGGCAAATCGCCAGAGCCATTAAAGAGAAAGCTTGGTAAAGTCATGCGGATGAAGACTCTGGTCTTATCTGCAGGCGCCACCCAAGCGTGTGTGTATTGTTGATTGGAGAGTGATAACACTTGCATCGAAGCCGGGGACCTATGAAGGCAGAGGTAAGCGAATAACGCATACCATAGAGGGCGGTTCGCACAAGGCTGAAGATAGGCGCTCTACCCCTCTTTTGCCACTTGCAAAGCCATGCAAGGCAAGTGCATGAGTGTTCGGATGAAATGCAAGCGCAGCCCTCAATATTTCGTCTTAGGTGAGACGAATTGATTCCAGCACTCTCATCTACGGCAAAAGTCACTGTCTCGTACGCCATTCTCCCATAGACAGACCCCAAATATTCCGGTGAAGATGGTAGAGGAACGATCGAGGCACTTGCTTGGTGGAAGTGGGTCGGTGCGACGGGAGGCAGATGAAGACTCGATTGGGCGTGGAGAACCCGACCATGCAAGCCGAAGCCGATCCGGTCCGGGGACCCCAAGCGATGACCGACCCTGCGTCTCGCACATCGCCTCACGAGAATACTTTGGGGCTAGCTACGAAGGCGTTGGCTCAAGCTATACCAACCTCCAGTCACTCGGTCCATCGGCCATACGCACTGAACTGGAAGATCTTCTGAAAGAGTTGCTACCCGAAACTTTGGCCGGCCCTGTGTCGCTGATTGGTCTGCCAAAGAAGATTGGCGAAGGAGGGCAATTTTATGTCTACCAACAAGAAGTAGCCTTTCTCGATCGGAACATCTGCAACGGCTCGATCGTGGCTGTCAAACGGCCGATTATCAAGAAGAGTGATCAAACTCCTGATGCACCCATCGACCTGGCTGATCCAAAAGTGCAGGAAAGCCTGGGCCATATCCGTCATGAGATAAAGGCTTTGACACATAAGAGCTTGCGACGCAATCCAAACATTGTCAGACTGTTGTCCTGGGCGTTTGGGGAGGAATGGGATCGCCCTTTTGTTCTTGTGCTTGAACTCGCATACGAGGACCTAGCGAATGCTTTGAAGAAGAAAGGTAATGACGCTCCGTCTGACCTCTTGAAAATGCGGTTTTGTAGCGACATCGCGAACGGACTAGAGGCTATCCACGCAGAAAATATTGTGCACGGCGATTTGAAGCCTGCGAATGTCTTGATCTTTCGCGAAGAGTGGAGGTGCGTTGCGAAGTTAGCAGATTTCGGCTTTTCCACCGAGGAGGATATCCAAGCTGCTGGTGGCACGACTGAGTGGCAACCGCCAGAAGCCAAATCCTCCGCTCTAGGCGACTGTTTCACGTACGGTCTGCTCGTCTGGAGTGTGCTCTTTCTCTGCGGTGAGGCCCCTCCGAATTATCCAGATAAGACAAGGAAGGAGCTCGCAGTATCGCACCTAGAGACATGCCGCCATGGATATACTTCGCAAGTGACAGAGATGATCAAGGATGCATTGAAAGGCCTTCTTGAGGAGGAGACGTCTCAAAGGTCGCGTCGAGTGGATCAAATCTTCGATTTTGCCACTGAACCAGTCTATGATGGCCAGTAAGGAAATACGCTCTTAGTACGAGAACGGGCTAACATTCTGTAGTCAGAAATCAGCGGAGAAGAGCGATGCCCATGCTCTGTATAACTTCATCTTGAAACGCTACAAATGGGAGATTCGACCCCGATCAGCAACGCTGCTGAACAGTCTGCATCGTAAATCCATGAAAAGTCCAGAGACAATGGAGTCAATGGCTTCGGAAGATGCACTGGTCATAACTCTGCAATATACATTGCAAGCCTCTGCTAAAGATACAGATGACCAGCACATCGTCCGAAAGTTTCTCGAAAGTTCGGCGAGAAAATATCGACGCGTTACCGATCAACAGATTGACCAAAGCGCCATTACTGAGGAACAAGTCTACCACAGCGTTGTCGCTTGTGCTCTTGCATCAAGACTCTACAAGCTACTCGGTGAATCCCTTAATCATGAGGAGGGTCTCCAATGGCTAGAGATGGCGATGGACACTGGCTCCATATGCGCAAGAGCTGATTTGCGTGAAATGAGCCCCAAGCGATTGGACAAGATGCTAGACTCTTTTCGGAGTCGCGGCGGCTACAACATGCTCTACTGGGATATGGCATACCATCCTGACGCACCTGTCCCGCTGGAGACTGATGAAGTGCCTGAACAAAGTAGATTGCATGAGCTGGCTGCTTTCGGAAGTTGCAAGGATCTGGGGAGATATATCGATGAGCGTCGGGGCTTGCTGGTAAATATACTGTCATCAAGAGGAGAGACTGCATTGTTCGTCGCATGCGCCCGCGGCTCCTGGCAGCATATCGAGCTGCTGCTTGATAGAGGTGCGGATCCTTCCATAAAGTGTACTGCTTCCGATATCACTTGTCTCCACTGGATCTTTGCTCTCGACGACGAAAGGTGTGGGATTGCTGTTCGACGAATGCTGAGAGCGGGAGCCGACATCAACGCCTTGATTCCGCCAAACATCGAGACGCCTTTCCCACATTATCCTTTCGTGTTACCTGCCGGGTCTCCACTTCATTGGGCAGTCGCTACTTCAAGTCACGACGCGATCAGAGCTCTGATTGAAGCGGGGGCCGATCCCCTCGTCCGGAACGGCAGCGATCCGTACATGTACGATGACAGAATCCGCCATTTATATGCCGTTGGGGGTCCAGATGCCGAAGGGTGCACTCTTGCAGAGTCTGGGTGTCTCGGTATGTCTCCTGTGGATTTGGCCGCAGTCCACAGAAATCCGTTCCTCTTGGAATTGATGGCGGAGCGGGAAGACCGCGTAGATATCAACTCCGCTGATGAAGAGGGTTTCTCTGTCCTTCATAGACTAGCCACGAGCCAGGTATTCCGGACAAGCAGAAGAGTGAAATTCGATGCACGCACATTTCGCGAAATGGATGAAGTTACGCCATTGCGAGCGTTGATCGAGGCTATCAAACGCTTGGGCGGAGATATCGAGAGGTCGACAAGTAGCGCAGAATCTGCATTCCAAAAGGAACAGAGATCTACCGACCTTGATAAGTCCAGCTACACGCCGCTGATGCTGGCCGTGTTGGAAGCGGACCACAGTCTGGTGCAAGCTCTGCTAGAATGCGGTGCTAGCGTCCACACCGGAAACGCGTCGCAGACCACTGCACTGTTCCATCTGTCACATAGAGCGAATGCAGAGCAACCCCAGCTGCTGCAGTGTCTCCGGACTCTTTTTGCCTATGGCGCTGATGTTCATCATTGCTCGTTGACGGGCAACACTCCTCTGCTTGCGGCAGCACAAGGCATGGGCCCCGAGATCTTCGACTATTTCCTCTCTCAAGGCGCTCATATCGATGAAAGGGATAGAACACCCCGCACTGTTTCTCCGGGAAAGAGTGTATTCGCCTTCTTCGCTTCGTTCCGTGATGACAGTGACACGATCATGCTGGATCTCCTCAGGAGATACGTTTTCGATTCGTCAGAGCCTGAGAAAAAGAGAAGGGTCATACAAGACGGTTCCGATAGTGGCAGCACTCTTCTTCACGAATGTGCAAAGTTCGCTATGTCCGGGTGCGTAAAGGCGCTACTCCATTACAGTGCTCGGGTTAACGCACTTGAGCGTAAGATCAGGTATGGTTTTCGAAATGCAAAAACGAGAGAGAAAGAGATATGGTACGAAACTCCTCTAGACCAATTGGAGGATGCTAGGGCTTTCAAATTGAAGCTGGTAGCTCAACGTAACGCGTTGTCGACCAAACAATCGGTGGCTCTTCAGGCTCGGTGCGAGATGGTGGAAGAACATTTGCGAACGAAAGGCGGGAAATCTTGCACCCCGGACTTGATTCGGGAACAATGGCCATGATGGAGTGGAGTTTGCGATCGGGCGCTGCGGTGGAGTAGTGCTGAAATTGCGTAGGTTTTCCATGACGTAATTGCCGCCGTTAGATGGCGGAGCTTGTCCCATGCTTCATCGCGTCAATGTGACTTTTGCGGACTGTCGCAAGTCAAGCACAACATGAGATGCTGAGACGATGCATGTGCGCGACAAAATCTAAAGGATGGCGGTCGGCGGTGTGGAGTGAAGTGAAGATGTAGCATCGCTACTGCTGTTTGTGGACGTGCGAAAAGGGGACTGCCGACAGGGATTATCGATAGCGAGGCAACAACGATGCGATTGCTCGGAACAACAAAGTCTTACCTTCAATCTTACTGCTTTTCTTTTAATGCGACTCTTGTGATTGTTGCTCACATAATACGACACTTGTTTGCAGAAGCGTCAAAGGGCGACGCGCGCTCGTTGCAGACGTGACATCTCCACAGTCGCGTCTTTGTCTTCATCACCCTCTGTTTACTCACCCTACTACAACTACAATCAGTGGCTCCCACATATATGAGTCAAATATAACTGTGCACGCATTCATTACTCATCAACTTCGCGAACTTCACGTCGACGCTTTGTCAATCGAACGCGCTTACTCCAGCGACTCAACATTTTCGCAACTAAACACGACCCGGATGGCCACCAAATACGACTCTGTAAAGTGCAAATCATGCACTAGAGTTCTCGCTGTGGTATCAGCCACTGGGCTTGTACCTACGACCTCGCCGGATGCCTCCCATGCAGGATGCAGCACATGTCAGCGATTTGACTCTCTGTATGACGCGATTAGAGAAGCCGATACTGAATGGGCTGTACTCGAAAACAAGCGCGACTCAATCAGTAAATCATTCGCGCGAGACAACCACAAGAGGGCTCATATGGAGTTCGACAACTGGTTGATGACTGTCGAAGCACCCGGACCAGCAAGAGACGCGCAAGATGAACCCCCCGAGGATAAGGACCGTGGAGGAGAGGACTTTATCAACGACGACAAACAAGATATAGCTGGTCCCAAGCGTCGAAGATCTTACTCGCCTACTACCCAGCGGTCTGGAGAATCATCCGATACAGCACCACATGGACAGCAAGGCATATCGCTGTCTCTCAGGCCATCGCCTAAACGATCGCACAGCTCATCAGCTTCGATATCACGCAAGCGGCTCAAATTTTCCGATTCAGTCGAGTTCCATGAGAATTACAGGACCAGTGAGCAGTATCACCGACCGAGCGAAACGTACGCGCGAGGGAGAAATGCGCCGCCTGAGGGTTCCGAGTACATGGACACTAGTGGATCGGGTCTGACCTTCCTGAAATTCACCGGTATGAAGAAAGTTGGCGTCAAATGGGTTGAGCTGAGCGAGGAAGAGCTTGCAAAGCAGAGCGAAAAAGCAAAGACTTGGGCGCAGCTGCGGAAACTTGCAACTGCAGGGAAACCAAAAGCTGATACACCGGAGGCCGATGCAGAAGTAGAGGTGAGGCATGATGACGATGCTCCTCAAGATGCTCGTGCAGCAAGACTTGCGCGAAGAGCTAAGGGAACAAGCGCGGAATCAGTGCAAGCTCGGGACACGACAAGTAGACGGGGCCGGGGCACCTTGCGAAAAGGGAAACAACCATCGCTTGTCAGTGCAGTGGATGATGTCCCAGAGACTGCGTGTGACTCTACCCTCGTCTCGAATACCACAACAACAACACATGGAAATGATCATCACTCGGACGGAGATCTAGGTCGGGTGGAGATCATCGCATCTGGAGACGACGGTCTGGAGCGAAGACATGACGCTGTTCCCAGAACAGAAACCACAGCGGCACTGGGCGCCGATCAAGTACGAGAGCCAGCCACACCCCACGAGGAGCCCCACAAGGATATGCAAGTGACTAGCGAGGCAATGTGCCAGAGTATTGCAGCTCAGCCAAACACCAGTAGTGTGGAGTCTCAACCAACAGTCGTATCTGGATACGACCAATCGCAACTCGAGCCAAGGAAGAATGCCTTGTGCACAGATCATGATGCACCGGAAATTGAGATACCTGAGGCGTCGTCTGGGTCTCGGATTCTGCGACCGACCTCAGGTAACCTTGAGGATACCGGCATCGCAAGTACGCGAGACCTAGACCTTCTCTCAGATGCTCGCCCCATTTCTGAGAAAGTTCCAGTGCGAAAGGAGGATGCTGTGCGCGAAGACCCTGGAGTGTCAACTCAAAACACGCCTATTGCTGCAGAGAAGGCTATCGCGACAGGAACATCTCTGCAACAGCCATCCGCGGAGCGTGAAGACCTCGTCACGGAGCTGAACACGTCTACATCAGCTGATAACAAGCTCCAAGTGCAGGGTCACTCCAATGTGGACATTATTAGCGCCACGATACCGCAAGACCCTGATCGCCCTCCTGCAGCCAGAATGCCCACAGAAGAAGCGTAGATCCTCACAGGGGGCATGATCGACGAAGCTGGAGACGCTGCGAGTCAATTTCTAGGTTAAAGATGCGTCCCACAGAAGGATCCAGCCTCTCTCGTGGCCGTAGAATAACAGAGTAGGGATGGCAGAGGTGGCCTCGTTTGAGCAGGGCCCTTATGTGGGTACTACAGCGTGATTAGCGGCGAGTCCGTGGCGGACACTTGCCGCCGGTCCACAGTTCGGCGTACATGCCGTGCCGCAAGCGCCGCACCTCTTGTGTATGATAGCAATAATAATTGTCGGTCTGTAGACGCCGATGCCTATGCGATTCTTCTGATGGTGTCCTCTAAATGCCATGTGTGTCTGTGCGTTTACCACACGAGAGCGATACTGGTACTGTCACTTGTACTTCCATGGAACAGGTGAGGGGGAGGAGCATCATCATCATGACTCCGCTCCATCGAATGGCTCCTCTAACGCAGCTTCTAACGCATCTTCTATTCCTTCTCGAATGCAGCTAGAGCGCTGAGCTAGAAAACATCAAGTAAGTCCTGTGCCCTTCCCGTGGGACCATTACGTCGCATTCGTCTCGAATGTCGCATTCAGGAACATGATGTATTCGAGGAAGACCCACCACTTATGGCCTCAGCTGCACCTCTACCTGACCCAATCCTCATCCAGAAAACAATTCTCCTTCTCCCAGCGTACGGGATAACGCTATGCCTTTTCGTATTGTGGCGACAACAATTTTCCTCACCGATCAATGCGCAAGTGGAGCGATGACATGGCCCAAAGAAGAAGGATTGATTGCGGCGGAAGGGCCGTTCCAGCTCTGCCGGTGTGCGTAGCCGTGAAACGTACGACTTTTCTTTCTTTGTGTATGCTGCGAGATTGCCGATACCCGGTGTTGGCTTAGATCTAAGGTATGGTGTTGATCAATGCTTGGTATTTCAGGCGGCAACTAGCCTTTTTGGGTAGTACATGGGCGGGCTATCACGATGTGGTGAGGTGAGGTTGTACGTTTTGCGACTGGGTTGATGTACGAGATTGCGAAAATGATAGAAGTTCTTGTGGGGACTTGAGATTGATAGCGAGAGTGGGACGTGGGAATGCGCATTGTTGCATGTCCTTGCGGCTTGAGCTCTGAAACCTTCTGCATCCTACTCTTGCTTGCTTTTTTTTTTGGGTCAGATAACTCCTACGTCGAAGTGACGTTGAAGGCCTAGTCTTGGCGAGAGGACTTAAAGACAGAGATAGTACGAGGCTAGAAGCTGCTGCGAAGTACCTAAATTATGTTCGACAGATTTGAGTGTAGGAGTAAGAATAGAGCCTCCTCTTGAGTTTCGGTATAGCAATTTTCGGATTCGGGTTCGCATACGTCTTCTCAGCCTTGCCCGCCTCGCTCTTGCCCTACCTAGATCTTCTCGAAGTGTGGCAACTCATACTGGACACGACACTACCCAACGCCTTCAAATCCAACCTCAACCCTTTGAGAACTTCTCTTGCTTCATGGGTGCGAAGCTCCGATCACCTTAAAAATCACCATTTCGCCGAACGAGCTCGTCGAACTTCGGCAGCGTCCAGCCGCTCGACCGCTGCCGCCTCGCAATATTTTCGGTGTCGGCCTGAGACCGGCATATACCGTTATACCAGCTCAACGTCTTCATCATGGCGACAGGAACTGCCTGCACTGCAGCCCGAGGATTGCAAAACGAAAGCTGCACGTGGGGAGCTGCGGGATTCCTTGCGGTGACGTCATGGGACCCCTCGCATCCATGGATGGATCTCACCAACGTCGACAGGGTTATCGTGTGACTGTCTCGTCAATACTTTCCAGGTATCAAGCGGCGCGATTTACCTTTGCACCCACATCCCACGTCTCAGATACCGGGGGAGGGGATGTTTTTCCCTCGAGGGTGAAGATTGCCCCCCTCAAGGTTCGGTCTTACTAGAGTATGTCATGCATGCCCACGGTTGATTCCGCGACAACGGCGAAAACACTATGAGCCCGCGACATTCCACCCACTCCCCTACCCCGGCCCGGTTCCAAGCACATGTCAACAGGACAAAACATTTTTGGCTGACGCACGCACGGTCCTCCGGTTCCATCGTTCCGTCGGATAGATCTTTCCAACCAGCTAACTGGGATTCAGGGACCCGCCAATTTACTTACCGCGACCCCAAGATCAACACCCCTCATCAAATCACCGATTTGCGATGACATCGCCACCCCAGTCGCAGACTCAGACCGAGGTTGGCCGCTCTCTCTGCCAACAAGGTCGGCGATAACAGCTTGCGGTTGATACGAAACGACCTCAGCCTGCCCGCGAAGGTGTAATGGATATTGGCAGTCGGCTAAATCGGAAGCAGGTAGCCATTAGCGCGACAACGTGTTTCTCAACACCACCAGGGCAAGCGGGATGTGGAGGGGTGGCTGGTAAAGCTCAGACCGGCTACCGTGGCCGTCGTATCGCACGCTGTCGACAGCGCCCAGCGTTGCGGCAGTCGGTGAAAGCGAGAGCTGAGGCAAGATGCGACATGAACCGAGGCGCTCAACAGCATACTTTGATCTGCGTACACAGCCTCGTGTCTAGTTCTCAAAGGCCATTCGGTTTCCAGACTGCATTTTGAATTCGACTATCGGCAAATGCCTGCATGGGCCATCGAGATGCCGTGGGGGATTGCAAAAGCTGGTATCGGCGATGGATCGGCAGCAAGCATAGTGAGTACTCTGGAGCAAGTGCAACTATCAATTGCTTGGACAATGTCTTAGCTCGAGCCCAACCACGAGGTATGCACGTTGCCATGCATCAAACTATCTCGTGCATTCTTCCACATACGGCCTAACAGGGTACTGAGACACCTTGCGCGAGCGTCTTGACCTACTGTTCCGTTGGCCGAGCTAGAGATTACTAGCGGATTGAAACTTCTGTCACACTTTGGAACGAAGTTTACGCAAGATTATTCGAGACATATCACAGGACTAGGATGCGATGGCTATTTCGGCTGTACAGAGGTCCGCAAACAATCATCTCAAAGCTCAAAGCAGTAGATCCATACGTCATAATCAGACCACAAATCTCACACCTACTTTACGCGTGTTGCGTTTCATCGCCCAACTCACGGCAAAACCCCGGAGCCGCAGGTGCTGGCCCCCAAAAGGGGAATCCGGTGATCCCTACACCATCAGCCTGCCCGCGCACTAACGAAATGCATGAAAACCTGCAGTAGCGTGCACTACGCGCCGTTAAGCCTCACTAACCTGCAGCAGGAAATCTTCGAGAAGCCCTTGTATCCTATCCTTCGCTTATCCATGGTTTTCATGGCTACGCCATCGTGCATAGTGGGAGCGGTGTCTTGCTTGCATGTGCATAGGTGCCGTAGCTGCAGCTTTAAGATTAGGAGACCTGGGAGACGCAGCCACCGTCCGGTCAGGTCAAACATCGAGCAGCTAGCGTAGTCACAGCGTTGCGGTGTACAAGATGCATAATCTTCACGCTGTAAACGCGCCGTGGGACGCCCACAGTGCTCGTCGGCCATACTTTACACAGCGAAGGATTCAAGGTGCATGAGAGTGATGTCATGGAGGCAGTTCCCGCTCGCCAGCCAGCAAACGCGTGCATATTCAAGGCGTGGAGTTATTGTGCATCATCAGACTACCAAGCATCCTCCACAAAAGCCCCCCGCCAAGACACCGAGCAGGGATACCCTGATGCTAAAGCCCCGACTCGTTACGAGGCACGCACGCACCTCGTCTGTTCCCGTCCCAGGCGTTTCCTCTAGGGACCAAACTCTAAACCACGTTTCTCTATTCGCCGAGAGAATATCACCAGAGAACGCGTCCGAAGCGATCAGCGACGCCTGCCACCAACCTCACAATTACGTGTCTTGTGACAGCAACCGCATCACGGATTGCCTAACAAGGTGACGGATAAGGTGACCTGTGATATAATGATCTTCGTTGCGCCGAAGCACCGCCACATAGGACCGCGGGCAAAGGCTCCGGCTAGCAAATTGGAGCACAACAACCATGGGTGTCTCAGACATTGCCAAGGTATAGCACGCATGTATTCAGGCGTGCGTCATACATCGCCAATCCATGCTCGAGCAAATTGGGCCGCCGTGATTGCAAAGAAAGTACAGGCCAATATATGCAGGGCTCTCGATTGTGTCTCGCGCGTAAGTAGCCATCCGGTCGCGAACCGGATCCGCACTGGCGGCGAAGGCGGAAAAGTGGGGGTTCAGATGAGACTTGCGCTCGTGGTCAAACACCGACCGGTGTAGCAGCATTTGCTAGACAACGACAAGTCTGTCTTCTGGAAGGAAAACTTCGTGCGTAGAGTTGAGAGTGGAGGAGCTAGAATCTGGCGTGCAAAGTGGGTATGGGGTACGGATGAAGCTACCCGGGTAGAACGGCACAGGCGGTAGCGGTCAAAGGGTTCAGCTTCGAAATCATGTTGTCATGTTGTTTGGTGCATCGTGGCTATAGGGTAGGGTTGAGCGAGTTTGCAGGTCACACGTGCAGACAAGATACGTGGGCAAGTAAATTGGTGTAGAGCCTGATAAGCTTCTATGGTGATTTTGTATATGTGTTATCTAGATTGGAATGGGCTAATACCGCAATCCTGATTTCTTCTAGCTATCTAACCTTCTTTCTACACGTCTCTTCAGTAATCTGAAGCATGCAGCCCGTGCGGTCGCATTGCAGCAGACCGTCCGATCATCGGCGCTGCGCTCAAAGGGGCCTGGCAACATGTGTCGGCTTGGAATGACAGTTCGTGTTGCTCTAGTCTTCCGATAGTTCCCGCACCATGGACAAGGGCCAGGCGCACGCTAGTGGCTCCTCGTAGCAGGTACTCTGCATCCCAGACTAAGCTGTCGGGAGGTACCTAGACTCATGGCTGAAGCTGACAGCAGGCTGGCGGCGGGCTTGCTAAGGGCCCAGGGGACAAAGTTTGTGGCTGGTTGGATGCCTCCAAGTGGAGTGCTCATGGTACCAGGCCCTCTGATTCTTCGCCTTGCCA